AGTTGTATTCCTTTCAAGAGCTTGAAACACTCGAGCTACTCGCTTCGGTGCTTAGTCGCCCCCGATTTGCAGCGAACATATGCGTGGTGCAACAAACACTTTTCGAAAGGAATAAGCGCGTGAAGCCCCGGAGCTGTTCCGGAGCTCCTCCTAAGTGTGAAAGGAATACAACTAAAGCCGCTGGGACCGCCTGAATGTACCCATTACATCTGAAATTCCACCTTACAAACCAGACGGGTGCTTTAAGGTAACAGTTAAGTAAAATCACAAACAGATTTTCAGTAAGCAAAAAATAGAAGAAGCGATAAAAACTAATCCAAACTAAAACCAAAGTTCTGATTTTTAGCGAATGACCACAAAAAAAAATCATAATAGGCCGTGAAGTACAGACAAATCGTGTCTCTCCGTTAAAAACCGTCTCTGAATCTGAAACATTTTGTAACCGGGTTAGAAAACGGTATGTCATTTCTCTAACCGCCTCGGCACCGGGGTGCGTACGATAAGTCCAACTACTGACACTTTTTACCCTGACCCGTCATTAATGTCGCAGTTTTTACACCATTCGTACCGTTTAGCGTTCCATATTCCCGGTGGTTTCCAATGGTTGCGTTCCAAAACATAACTGCACCGCACTAACGCTAACCGGATCAGACAAATCGTACGCACCGGTTACGTCGAGCGGTTAGAAGAAAAAAAAAACATACACAACTGTAAAAACTAAATAAAAAAAATGTGTTCTGTATATATAGTATTATATTTTATGAATTTGAAGCCTGAAAGCCGTTTTACCTTGTATACAGCCTGATTTACGTAACCCGTGCATTATAAATTGTTCAGTTTGCAGGTGGATTAGCATAAATACCACCTAATCTACCTGCTAATGCACGGACTACGTAAGTCACCCTGTATTATACTCAAAAGATGTACCAGAGACAATCCCAGTTTACCTTTACCTACTTGATGGGCTGTTGTAGACTGTAGGTAGGGAGAACTAAACTTTAGATTTTAGATAAACTGATTCTAGTAGGTCTATCCACCCATGGTCCACATCTAAAGCATTGAACGAAAGGAAATTAAACTACCTATTTTCCACTTTTTAGCTTGCTGTAATATAAAAAGGAATGAAATACTGGATAATTTCATAATTTTGAAAAAAAAAACTTGCTTCCCATATTTTTTCACATATTAATTAATTGTGAATTGCTCACATTTAGGATATTTTTGTGGATAGTAGACATAGTTAGGTCAGATTTACCGGCAGTGGCGAAAATATTGAGAAATCATTTTCAATAATGTCATCACTTGACATACCGCCCCTAACCGTTTTGTAACCCGGTTAGTTTAAACCGGAGCGACGTGAAAAGGTGTAATGAAACGTATGTTAAATACAAGGATGATACACACTACTACTACAGGATAGCCTATCTTCATAAGGCATGTGTGGAACAAATCCCCCTCCTCCCAGGACAAATCACCAGTTGTGACGTAGGCAGCATGTTATTTCTCGCCTTGACGTAGGCTGTTTAAATAGCTAACGACTTAGTTATGACGTCGGAACTGGTGACACACCAATATGGCAGCGATTACCAAAAACGAGGCTGATAAACAATCATGTAGGTGTGTATCATCCTTGTGTTAAATAGACAAACATCACAGATGCTTGACAGTTGTCGCCATATTGAATTTTTCTGTGGCCGTTGGATTGCGACGGGCGCGTTCAGACTGGATAGTTTGGGCAAAGTCCGGTCCGCATTCTCTTCTCATAACCCCACTGTGTACTTGGAAGTCTGTCCAAATGTTTGCTGTTTTTTTGTATAATTTGTTAAAAAATAAATAGTTTAGAAGAAGCCCTAGTGATTGTTTTCATATATAAAGAGGCCACCTTGTTTTATATAGAGTAGAGTGATGATGATGCCTGTGCCTTCTCCAAGATCTTTATAAAAAAATTCCCAAGAAAAAAAAATAATTACTTTCCAACAGCTATAATATTTAAGGTACGAACATAAACGCCCATGCCGGGCAAATTTTATTTTGTTATTTTATGGATCGGTTTCTCAATTGCTGTATTCCTTTTACCCGTTGAGATATACTCGGAGCTGCTCAATGTGAAAAGTTTGAACGTTCCTTTTAAAAATGCGTTAAGCACTCGAGTCGCTCATAGGGCACCCCCCTAAAGTCTAGTACTCATAACTGCGAAATTCGCAATTTTTTGACATTTCTTCGACAATTTGACGTTTAATTCACGCATAAAACGTCAATTTGTCGAAGCAATGTCAAAAAATTGCGAATTTCGCAGTTATGAGTATTAGGCTTAAAGCTTGCTTTTCATGCATCCGTTTATTCGTCAATCCGATGATCCGGAAATATTCCTATTGGTCCAATATTTTGGCGCCAAGGAATACTTCCAATCTCCAGATCATCGGATTGACGGATAAACGGATGCATGAAAAGTAACCCTTACCCCTGATGCACCAAATTTGCGGTGGGTGCAAGAAGCCGTTTTAGGTTATGTTAATAGTTAATGTTAGTCGACATCGATTTGAAACGAACAGATGCGCCGACTTTCGTGCATTTAAATGGTTTGATTCGGGCTTGAGCACTTCAGGTGCAACAAACACTCACAACAACTCGAAAAGAATAAGCGCGCACGCCCCGGAGCTCCTCCGAGGTGTGAAAGGAATAGAACTATTATGATAATATCCATTCACGATTCGACAACCCGGGTTATATTCTACCTAGGTAAATTTACTCGGGTAGTTGGAGTGACTTAACTGGGTTAAGAAACCAAGGCGAATTGTGATATTTGTTATCTCCATAATAGCCGTTTTCTCGCGTCCACTTTTTTCAAAACAGGTTTGAAACGGGCAATGGTAACACCGTTGCCCGTTTCAAAACTGTTTTGAACCAATGTCAAAACAGTGGACACGAGAAAACGGCTCATACGTTTTGTTTTGATTTTGCATCGCGTTTATTTCTTCATTTTCTTGGTGAATTGGATTTGTATTTGATGCAATTCAAATACGTCTAAGTCGTAATTTTTAGCGGTGAAATTCAAAAAAATGCACATGTGGCTCATTTGAAACTTTCGTCGACGCATTTCGCTAAATTCGTCGACGCAAGATTGCATTTGACATGCGTCACCACTCACCCCTAGACCCTAGAGCTCGTGCATTTCCAAATTGCACGCGAAAGTTAGTTGAAAATTTCAGTTTAGTCGGAGAAAAATATTCTTGGCCTCATGGAATTCGAAAATATTGTTAAATTGTTGGCTCTAGAAAGGGTCGAATTGTATAACCATATCCTCAAAGGCTTCAGAAATCCAAGAATAGATGCATGCATTAACAAGGTTTAGGTAATGACGGGGAATTTATAAAAAACTTTCGACGTTCAAAAGAATGTCTCGAGATTCCTTCCATGAAAAGGAGTTCGAAAATTTTCCCGACAAAAGGGCCGGATATTTGTTCGAAAGTTCGACCAAGATTTCTTTTTGTTTTTTGGTAACAAATCCGTAACTTTTCTTATTGGCACTGGCCTCCGCACTTTCCATCCTGTTTGCAGTATTGCCTACACTTATAGAAAAAATATACCAAGATAATATAAAAAAAAAAAAACTCCAACTAAGGGCGGGTATTATAAAACTGCTTTGACAGTTAACTTGAAGTTAACTTTTTGAATTACATTTATTTGCAGAAGTTAACTTTAAGTTAACTCTCAAAGTAGTTTTATAATACCCGCCCTAAACACGAAACTTTATGCACGGAAACAATCAGAAAAGTTGTTACGTTAAACAATTTCAAATTTGACATTTCAATGCAGCGTTCCCTTTGGTCATATGAAATTTTATAACAATATTAACTTTTTTCACGTGGCTCCGGTTAAACAAACCAGAACATACCGCTCAAATTCGTGTGGTAGGTATACATCACGTCACTTTGTAACCAGGTTAGAAAACGGCATGTCATTTCTCTAACCGTTTTGTAACCCGATTAGTTAAACCGGAGCCACGTGAAAAGAACTATTGGTTAGAATCTTTTACAGGACACGTTGCCAAGTTGAGTAGTGCAAATTTAAAAATTGACGATTTACAAAATGCACAAGATTTCAAATAAGCCGATCGTGAATTTTTAGAATTCGTCGACGCACATATTTCGACCGACTGAGTCGCATGTGAAAGATTTGCACGGATTTCAAATAAACCCCCCCTGCTACCTTTTTTAAAAACGTGATGGTCTCAGAATTAAAAAAAACAAACCCCATTAAACTATCGCGCATGTCGAGCAAATTTTACCTAGCCGATTGTGAACGCTGGTGTAATTTTACCGGGTTGAACTGGTTGAAGCATCCCGATTCGTGAACGACATCCGGACACTGGAGCGCGCACGGAGCGCGCCCGGGCGTCTATCGTGAATGCAGCCCTGAATTGTTTTTTTGAGTGACTCCGAGGAGCTCTAGAGCGACACGATCGGTGTAACTCGATGTAAAAAAGGAATATAGCAAGTCACCTCCGGGTTGGTGTCAACATTTCAACTCCAGGGTAGACGTGTCTAGTTGCAATAGGTAGAGCCATTGAGCCATTGGGCTATTTTTCGCGACATAATTTTTCCAAAGATTGGTTCGATTATGTTGGGATGTCGCTAAAAATAGCCTATTCAGAGCGATAATTTCATCCTATTGAAAATTAAAAAAAAAAAGATATGCTCACGCCTATTGGCCAGCCAATTTACCTACCCTACCAAATGTAATCCAAAATCGCGCATGTACTTCTGCCTATGTTCCGATATCAACTGTCAGTACTGAATTTACTGGACGCCGTTCCGATATTATTTTCAGTACACTGGATTCAGTCGATTCAGTACTGAATGACCAAAAAAATACGCTGTTGAAATCGGAACGGCAAATGACAGTAAAAACTGCAATCAGCACAGTAAATCCAGTACTGACAGTTGATATCGGAACATAGCCTTTGTCATCATCATGCAATGACGTCAAACTGTCAAACATATGACTATGATTGGGTTCTGACTAATTATATTCCAAATGAATATAATAAAAAAAATGTAGTAGTATGGAAGTCTTTTTGAAACATTTTCAATGAGGCTGAAGTCATGGCTGAGGATAAAATCTTTGTTTCTTTCACATGCCAGAGATGTTCACAAAGCTTAAAACTAGACGATTCGCTAAATTCGTTTAGTGAACACATTTCTGCTGAGCTAAACTGTAAATGAACACTGCACATTTCTTTGTCTTTTGAATTTACATTTATCATATCTGTATTTTAGTACCAATCCATTCCAACATTTCCAATATAGACCTAGACTTAGAATCACAAGCTACAAGTTTCGACCATTACATCCCTCCGTGTAGATTATCTGATTCGCGTAATGGCACTAGTGGATTTATGCTTATTTCGGATGAAAACGAAGTGGATTTATTGAGTCAACAATTTAGAGCTAAAGCATCTCTGTTCGATCATTTATCAGGTATCTCTGATATTGATCATCCTCTGTGTGATGAATGCACTGATTATTTAATAGAAATTTTGGAACAGCAACTTGATGTGACTCAGAAAGACTTGAACGCTTATTGTGAGTATTATAAAGTGCTTCAAGCCGAAAAAGATGAACTGAAATTGACAGAGTTGGAAAAGGAGCTTCAGGATATATCTGATGACGAAGTGAGACTTCTAGATGAACTAGAAGCCCTTGAGAAAGAAGAGCTTGATTGTCTTGAAGTATTTTTTTTCCAAATGTGGCAATATAGGTATTTTCTATTCAGGTTGTTTTTTTTTAAGGCTATAGCTGAAAAGGAGGAAAATGCTAAAAAAATATCTCAAGAAGAAGACAGATATTGGAAGGAATATGTAAGACATAAAAGAGAATGGCTGATGGCCGAAGATGAGGGTAAAAGGTAAGAATTTGGCTTGAGAATTTGATTATTTGAAAAATAATATATTAATAAGCAGAGCTGGGAGTAACGACAAAAAATAGTTACTTTACTTTAACGAGTTTCTGAAAGTAACGCGTTACTTGGTAACTTCGTTACTTTTCAGATTGATTGATGAGTTACTGTAACAACGTTACTTTCCTGAAGTAACTGCAGATTTACTTTAACAAAATAACGAGTTACTATGAAAGTAGCGCGTTACTATAAAACTAACGCGTTTATATGGAAGTAACACGTTACTAGTTACTATGAAAGTAACGCGTTCTCTCAATTTGTTTATCTTCTTTACAAATAATTGACGATTGAGGAAAAGGAAAATAAGTAATCCAAAAACTTTGTATGTCAAATAGAATGTGGGTGGTACAGAAAATTTGTTTTGAAAACTCAAAATAATCGTTTTTAGGCGTAACACGCGCCGCCTCTGCTCTAAAGACACTATGTGCAGACGCTGGGACGCTTCAAAAAGCAGGTTTTTCCAAAACCAAGTTCTCTACTCAATCGCCTAATCCTTAATCCGTTTGAATTTTGCAACAAAACTCTTCCACATAAGTTGTATTCCTTTCAAGTGTTTGAAACACTCGAGCTACTCGCTCCGGTGCTCAGTCGCCCCCGATTTGCAGGGAACAGATGCGTGGTGCAACAAACACTTTTCGAAAGGAATAGGGGCGTGAAGCCCCGGAGCTGTTCCGGAGCTCCTCTTAGGTGTGAAAGGAATACAACTATAGTCGGACTCACAAACTAAAAACATATTGGCATTTCGTAAAAGTCTTATTTGATTGTTTGGACTACTGTGTTTGTGAGTCAAATTAAGGAATAACGCAATTTTCGACGTAAATAGTTATTTTTGAAGTAACGCGTTACTTTAAAAGTAACGCTTTATTTAAGGTAACGGGTAACTTTCAAATAACGAGTTACTTTTAAGTAACGAATTACTTCTAAAGTAAAGAAGTTACTTTCAAAGTAAAGAAGTTACAGTAACGCGTTACTTTTCAATAAGTAACGGAAATAAAGTTATCATTATTCGAAAGTAACTGTAAATTATAAGTAACGAGTTATTTTCAAGCAAAAGTAACTGTAAAGTAACGTGTTACTTTTTTCAAGTAACGATCCCAGCTCTGTTAATAAGTATCAGTACTATCAGTGAAAGACTTTTATCATCTCTAATGTGATTTTATTGGCGATACAGGACTAATTTACATTAATGCCCAGTAGTATTACTTAGATAGTTCTCTTCTGTAGTGTAATGGTTGATGGCTGGTAAGGACAGACACATACATTACATAAGAGAAATTTTGCAGTATTGCCATTGCCTCAAATTTTTGAACCTCAACCTTGCAAAGTCAGCATTATGCCTATGGTGCAAATAGATCAAATCAGAGTCAGACTAAAAATGAATGCCTGACTTTAGCTAAGACATATTTTAAGTTGTGATTGGTGGAACTGGCAAGTGGGCCCTAGTGTCTGGAATTTTCAAGCAGGCGAATGTGGGTATGCACATTCAGCACATTTTTAGATTTTAAATTTTTTTCAAGGTGGGTTTATACAGATATGTATATAACAGCATAAAACAAAACAAGTTAGGCTAAAAAGGTAACTATATGGAAAATTCTTATGTCACTTATACCTAAAGAAAATAAAATAAAATAAGAAGTTGCTTAATTTTTGGTGGGTTTATAACGAGGTTTATACATAAGAAGTAACAATATAATATAAGGAATAAAACATAACATAAGAAATGAGGATTTCGTGGCGTTAGACAAAAAATAACATAACATAAATAATTTCAGGTGTTGACTTGTTAATTTTGGGATATTTTGTTGCAATTTGTATGTTGAAATGACAATGTTCTTTTGGCCGTTTCTTCATTATTCCCTTTTTGTCTTTTCCTGTTGTGAACAACAAAATTATTGAATAACAAATAGTTTTCTTATTTTCACTGTTCTGTCGAATCTACTGCAAAATGACCAAATTCGGAGCTGCATGGGCCTAGGCGTTTCCACTTAAAACATAAAATAACTAAATAAGACCTAAATGTTGAGAAACTTTTAACAAGCCTCATACTCAGAACTTAGTGTCGCCAGCGACACCTCGGTAACCAATAGGAATCGAGCATTCAATTGACAGGTTTTCCCCAACTGGCGGCTAGACATAGGATCGTGATCCAATGTTGCCAAATCCTCCTTTCATAAAGCGCCAAATTTAAAATAGATTTATATTGCGGATAATGTTACAATAATAATTAAAGGTTAATTTCTGTTATACAACAAATAAATTCTCGCATGATTAGTAGGTAATAAATTAATCCTATTATAGATATTTATGTTATAAGGACCATAATCACGATCATTATGGTATTAGCCGTGAATATTATCAGACGAGGCGTCAGCCGAGTCTGATGATAACACGGCGTGTGCCATAATGATTGTTTATGATCCAAATTTCATACAATATTTTATATTCCAGAAATTGTAAATTATTTTAATCGTTAAATGTTGTCTTCAATAAATTTTTCATATTTTTGCCTACTAAACCTACCTATATTTTTTTCTCATTATAGTAGGTACTTATAATGAATACTACTTAGTAATCTAATGAAATCGCATTAAAGTACTCAATCCAATAAATTATGTCATTTTGACACTACAAATGAGATCCATCATAATGTCATTTTGACAGGCCGGAATATAAAAATAGAAAATAAGTAATGGTAATAATAAGATAAAAATAATAATACCTATATGGTATATTTTTTCATTGTGAATTTATATTTAGGTACTTATAGTTATTCTAAAGAAAGAAGCGAAAGTATTTAAAACTAAAAATAAAAGGTCAAAGTTCTCTAAAAAAATATATTATGTAATTATAATATTTAGAAATAACTACTCTACTAGCTTTGTTTGTTCATTTTCACTAAAGAGATCAATGAAAAAGACAGACTGACAGAGACAGCCAAACTTGGCTCAATGGGGTGGGCGGGCACGCGCCTAGCATCGAAATTAATTTGGCAACGTTGGATCGCAGTCCTATGTTTAGCCGCCAGTTTTTCCCCACTCTTCTGACGCTAGCGACAAATGACAAAAAAATGACTGTCACCTATCATAAAAAATAAATTACTGCCATTTTACATCCCTACCTACAAAGTACAGAAAAATCGTTTTTCTCCATTGAAAACCTGTGTTTTGACTCTGCAGGAACGGCATGAAACGGAGACTTTCTCGCGAGTAGAATGGCTCCCACAACTAAGTACAATACATAACACATAACGTATGCATTTTTCAAAAAATCATCACTTCACTACTTTACAGACTTTACACAAATCAAAAATCGCAAGAAAACGCAGTTTATATCAAGGATAGCCTATCCTCATGAGGCCTGTTGTGGAACAAATCTCTCTTCCTCCCTACCCTAGCCAAATCACCAGTTGTGACGTAGACGCGATTACCAAAAACGAGGCCGATAAGCAATCCTGTAGGTGTTTATCATCCTTGGTGTATATCAAGGATGTTACACACTACTACTACAGGATGGCCTATCTTCATAAGGCCCGTGTGTAACAAATCCCCCTCCCACCTCCAAAATACCAGTTTTGACGTAGGAAGCATTTCTCGCCTAAACGTAGGCTGTTTAAACGGCTGAGGACTTAGTTATGACTTCGGAAATGGTAACACACGAATATGGCGGCGATTACCAAAAACGAGGCCGATAAGCACTCCTTAGAGTGTGTATTCTCCTTGGTTGGATTGCCCTATAATAATCGTTGACAGTCGCAATATTTGTTGTGTTTAGTATCAGTTTTTTTTAGATTTATTCCAATTTTGAAAGTATGTAGTAATTTTTTGCATCTGTGGGAATTGACAAATTCATTATTTATTACAAATATTTAATTATCATAAAAATTAAAATATCGGTGCTAGAAGTGGACAACGGCAGCTCTATGTTCCATTTTTATTAGTTCTAGTAAATAGTAAATGTAAAAAACTGCTTTTTTTTAAGATGGAAATAGAATTTAATGGGTGAAATTGAAAGTTATCGTTATTTCAGATAATAATCCAAATGGATATTGATATTGATATCACGTATCCGTGTAGGTAACTCACTAATGGCTATTTGTACATCTATCACTTGAGGGATATTTAATCTAAGTAGAGCTTTGAATGTGACTTTTGTTTCAACAAGAGTCACATTCAAAGCTCCACTTAGATTAAATATCCCTCCAAGTTAAAGGGGTGCAAACAATTTCAATATGGCGTGGCGGCCAAGCAAGTTTGTTTTGAATATGTTTTTATGCAATTATTTTGCAATTTTGCTTGCAACTTTGATTTTGATTATTTAATAAAATATTTGTTGACTAGGTGGGTACCTAATCTAATAAATCGGGCAGAAACTAGATATTTTTTTGTGTTTTTTGGCCCATGTGTGGCCGCCACGCCATCTTTTGCTGTCGATAGTTTTTGAGCGACGGGGTCGTGGGAGCGTGTCGCTGGCGACACTACATAATCCTGAGAAAGCGCCTTTATGTCTTATTTATGTGACACCTCTGATTGACAAGTGAAATATAGGGGTCATTTTGGACAAGAAAGGTCTGTTCCAGCACGTCAGAAACCGTCCCATGCACATTTTGGAAACCACTGTGTATATGAATCTCTTCTATGTGAAATAATTTTGAAAAAAATAAAATTTACAAGGCTTAGGTAATTGTCGGAAATTTTAGAGGAAGATGAAGATTCCCTATCTTCCAGCGCTGAAGACAAGTTCATCGAAGTAGTTATTGCCCCCTCCACATTCCGCACTTATTTCACCTCCTCTTGAGCGGGTGTAAGTAGTGCAAGATTGGGCACCCTACACTGAAATAACAAACGCTTCACACAATTTGCTCTAACCGCCTCACAAACGCCTCAGTGCAGAAAAGTATATATTATTGTGCACTAGTGGAGGGTAACAAACGGACCTAGACCTTGCAAATCTCCATGAGGCACCCCAGATGACTCATCAAGTTACCCATTACCAGACGACCTATTAAATTTAGGATTTGGTTTTCGCTGCAAAAAATGAACAAATCAAAATTTTTGAGGTTAGTGGAGCTGTGTGCAAAAGTTATTGGGTGTAAATAAAGTACCAAACTTATCGTTATTAACTCTGTTCCTCCTCTTTCTAAGTAGTTCACGAGCTCAAAATCGAAATAGCCACAAAAATCGTTAGCAAACACGATTTTTACTGGTCCAAAGACCAAAATGTCCCTATTAACTTTGCCCCTTTTCCGTTTTCTTTCGTCGTGCTCAGTGCACGTGCTTCAAATCGGAATAGCCACAAAAATATTAATCAAAGACAGTTTTCATCGGTCGAAAGACGAAAATGTCTCTTAAAAACAAAAATGGCCGACCAGGCAATGTTTATGGCTAGTGTATGTGCTTCGGCTTCGCATTCTGGTGCTTTCGGGTGCCACCCTTTGAGAGCTCCCGAGTTACTCCGGCTACAGTTTGACCCGTTCAGGTGAACAGAGTTTGGCGCTCTCGAGCTGCTATTATTTCCTCGCCTCTTAACCCCGAAGCACCTAACATTTTATGGTTGCGTGTTGCGTCACGCTCCGGGTAATACGGTTTCAGGGCGAGTCCTCGCGGGCGTAATTGACGTATGCGTAACTTTTCGGCGTATAGTGGCGAAGTTGTGACGTTTGTTTTTGTTTTTTCTGATATGTCATGGAACAATCACAGAAAACCAAAGGAAAAGGACTACAACAATGAATTAGTAAATTTTTATTACAGCCTGGCAAAAAATAAACAAGAAATTTAGCTTAGAAAATGTTTTTTTTTTTTTGGTTTTGATGCACTACGTGCGGGATGTTACGCCAAAATTGGAGTAGAATTGCGCTATAATCACGCCCGTGCCCGTAGGGACTCGCCCTCAAGCGTTCGAGTGCGAAACGCATGGATTATAAAGCTGGCGTCACATGATGCATCCAACCATTGGTCCCGACGTTGGATCCAACGTTGAGTACAATTGTTTGGCACTCTAGCATTTAGGCAAATGTGTCCGCTGCATGATGAGACAAACATCCTTTCCAACATTGGAACAAACCTTGCAACAAAGGTTGGAGTTGTATGTATGTATGTATGTATGTGTTGGAGGTGTCAGTTGCACTGCGACCAAGGTTGATCTATTGTACCCCTCCTTCTGCTGCTAAGTTCGGGTTTCCTGCCTAAAGCAGCCCCTCTAGTCCTTGGTCCTTTAGGAATTTTAGGATGTCTAGCGGTTCCAGGGCTGGAATGTCTTCCAGCTGTATAAGGGGACTTCCCAAGGTTGGAGTTAAACGGACGAACTGTCAATCCTCGTGTAGCATTGTCTCCAACATGACAATGTGTCAAACATTGGAAGCCTCATTTGAAGCGGGTCAAATTTACCGACTTTGGCCTGAACAGTGCGTGTGGCCAACGCTGGACACATGTTTTCCACGAGCGCACGGCTAAACGATGCCAGAAATCGCTACTCATCGTGTGGCGCCGGCTTAACGGGTGTGAAGTTTTCTGGGGCGAATCTCCTAGAAAACTTCACACTCTGCACCCGAAGGCAGCTCTGATGGTCCAGATCCTGGCTAGGTGTATGGTTATATTTGTGATGTTTGCCTAGTCAAATAAATGCCCTGATGAGAATTCTAGAACAATTGGTTCGGATTCCACTGTATGTTTCATTATTCCGGAAGATACCTTCCAGCCAGACAACTTTTCCGGATAAGCCGTAATGTGAGCTGGCAGATTGCCTAGTAGCAAAGCCATAATGAAGTAGCAGCAATTATCAAAACGATATGATATTTGATAATTTTATATGGTTTAGGTACAAATGAAAAAGACAAAGGGGGATAGTATGAAAGGGCTGGAAGAACAGTCTTACATACAAATTAAAACAAATCATTCTAAACTTAATTGACACTTAAAAAAAAAAACTCATGTTATATTTCCTGTTAAAACGACACAAAATTCTTATTTCCTATGTTATTTAATTTCCTTTATGAACCCCCTAGCATTCTTAAGCACCGTTTAACCGGCTCATAATGCATATCTATTCTTAGTGCTTAATGCGTATTTTAAAACGAAAGTATTATATGTAGAGTTTTAGCATACAGATTATGTATTATGAAATGCATTAAGCACTAGGGGTTATATTTCTTAAGCACCAAAAGATGGCTAAATGAGCTTTAAGGTTTATTCTTTGTTTAATTGTAATTTTAGTCTGGAATGTCGAATTGGAGCGGCACAAGCTCACCTAGACAAACTAAGACGAACCAATGTGTTTAATGCAACTTTCCACATTTGGCACAAAGGTCACTTTGGTACCATCAACAATTTTTGTCTGGGTACTCTCCCTTCAGCGCCAATTGCTTGGGCTGAAATTAACACTGCTTGGGGCCAAACAACTTTGTTATTTTGCGCTTTGGCCAGGAAAATTAATTTGACTTTTGAAAGATATCGGCCAGTGCCTTACGGGAGTCATTCATATATTGAGGATATTAAGGTTATTGGTGAGATTAAGAAAATACCTTTATACGGTTCAGGAGGAACAAAATATTTATGGGATACCAAATTTGATATTGGAATGATGGCTTTTTTAGATTGTGTGCAACAGTTTACGGAAAAAGTTGAAGAGTTGGAAAAAAACAATAAAGTTTTCAAGTTTCCATATAGAATTTTTAATGGGAAAATTGAAGATTCTGATAATATCAAGTACACCTTGAGGGCGACAATTATTAGCGAAGAACAATGGACTAAAGCCCTCAAATATTTATTAACGGACCTTAAATGGGGCCTTGCCTGGGTGGCTTCACAATTTGATAGCAATGGAGAGGAAATATTACCTGTTCATACTGTAGTTTAAGTATACAAATCAAATTCAATTATTAATTTGTACAGTGTATCATAGGAACCTAATAATTTAATAAAAATGTACTCTCTGATCCTGTTTGATTTTCAATTTGAAGTTAAGCTGAACTAGCTGTAATATTTCAAATTATGGCAGATAAACTATAGAAAACGCTCACAAACGAACGCCTCAAAGCAGGAAGTGCTGCCCCGAACAGCACAAAAAACAAACCTTTTGAGCGAGCTCTTTGGGAACAAGTTCAGTTTTTAGTGAATATTCAAAACTATAATTATCAAATCTACAACTTTTGGAAGAAAATAGTGATGTTTGACGTTACGGTATAAATTAGTATTACCTTGCATTTTTTGGGACTTACACCTCAATTGAAATTAATACCAGAAGTTTCTTGATTTTGATAAGAATTACTACAAGCTCTCTGATTAGAGCAATTTTACCTATCAGATTATTTTTATAAAATAAATTCCTCGAATCGACTTTTTATAAACGAATCGAGTTTTATTATTTTAATAAAATAATACTTGATTAGGCTCGGTGGTATGAGTTCTGGATTTTTTGCTGACGTTTCGGTACCAAATCTGCTACCGTTGTCGAAGCTTGGGGGGGGGATGGAACACCTAAAAAATAAAAAAGGCAGAAAATTGTTCGGTTTTTTCGTAAATTTGTTTGAATACTCGAATTTGAGTTATCAAGCAAAAATTACAAATTTGACTATGTCAAACTTTTGACAATAATCATATCTAGGAAATGCTGGTATTTTCTAAAGGTGAGATTTTTAATTAATTTTCAATTTACCTTGGTGTACTTCTGATTCAAGCAAAGGAAGCCACGTATTACTAAATGATGTTGAGCATGAAGCAACACATTCGTCTTTATTTAATAAAATTAATGCGCTCTCTTTGATTTTACGTGTTTTTGAAAAAGCTTCCTTTGCCAGAATGCTAGAAGCATTCCAGTTGATTTGATGGTTATTGTCAAAAGCATGTTGGCATATGTTTGATTTGTTAAAGTCCCCGTTTTTTATGTAGTTCTTGTGTTCTTTGATACGTTTTTGTAATGGCCTACGAGTTTCACCAATATAGAATTTATCACATTGATTACATGGAATTTTATAAATTACGTTTTTAGTACGAATAGTCTTATTATTTGGTTTTGTTTTTGTAATTTGTGATCTTATTGTGTTTTGTGTTTTGAAAATTGTGCGTATATTGTAGTCTTTACTGATTCGTTTTATTTTGTCTGACATGCCTGGTATATATGGTAAGTAAAGATTGGTTATTGGTGGGTCTGCGTTTTGTTTAGGTTTTGGATTTTCGAAGTTTGTGATGCATTTGTTTATGAATTGTTCAGGGTAATCGTTTTGTTTTAGTATATTTTTAATGTTTTGTTTTCTTTAGTGAAAATATTGTGATTGTTGCATATTGTTTTGGCTCTGTCGTATAGGCTTTTAACTACACCAGTTTTAATCATGATTGGGTGATTTGAATTGTATTATTTAGTTCTTTTTCTATTGTAAATTGTATAGTTGGTTCTTTTTTGGTGAATTTATGTGTTGAAGAAAGTTATTAAGGTCGTCTTCATTGTGAGTGTAAATTGAAAATATGTCGTCTGTCTATGTAGAGCCACCAAATAATGGGTTTTAAGTTATAATTTTCAATATTATTAATTTCGAAATCTTCCATAAAAAATATTACTTAAGAAAGGTGATAAAGGTGAGCCCATGGCCATACCAGAAACTTGTTGGTAATATTCGTCATTGTATTGAAAATATGTTGTTTTTACACAAAATGTTAGTAATTCTAAAATAGTATTTACTGAAAGGTTAGTGCGTTCAATAAGTCTATTGTCGTGTTCTAATTTATGTTTAACTATGTTGAGTGTTTTGTCTATGGAAACGTTTGTGAATAAGCTAACAACATCGAAACTAACTAAAATGTGATTGGGATTTATGTCAATTTCTGATAGTTTTTCTAGAAAATGTTGTGAATTTTTTATGTATGATTCTGTATTGTTTATCAGAGGATTGAGTATAGAGAGAAGGTATCTGGATAATGGCTGTGTAGGTGAGTCTATGCTACTGACTATTGGTCTTAGTGGATTATTAGGTTTGTGTATTTTTGGAAGACCGTAGAAATGTGATTTCGAGGGGTAAGTCACCTTGGTATTTTATTGTACAAGCACTTGGTAATTATTGGTATTTATAGGTATTTTTGGTATTTTTTTTTGGTAATTATGGTATTTTTTGTGGTACTTCTGGTAATACTTGGTAATTATGGTATTTTTTTTTTGGTAATATTTGGTATTTAATAGGTACCTATTTAATTGGTATTTATCATGGCCGGAACACAATGCGCATGTGCGGCAACATATGACGCTATTTATTTTATTACCCAAAAGGGTTTTGTCTCGGGATTCCTGTTGAATAATTCATTGAAGAATTATTGGAAAATAAGAAAAATATAGGGAATATAATTATTTTATTATTACAACATTATCTACAATAGTTATTTATGCAACAAGTGTGTAAAGTGAACCTTTTTTCACAATCACATGAGTGAAAAAAAGGTGCTTTACGCACGTATTGCATACAAAATTTTTTCTACTACGAATCAAATATGTGTGAAAAAATAGATTTAGACAAATACTTTACGAACTAGTGCGTGAAGTATTTTCACTTTACGCACTAGTGCGTGAAGTAATTTACCAGAAAAATACTACTCCGCACTGGGACCAATGTTGGCGCCAGTGTGGTCCCGGCCTTAGCCTATATTGACATTTGTGAGTGACGTAAAATAGGTGAACCTGTCAATATTTTGACTGACAAATACCAGTATTTCGTATACTCTCCACACAAAAAGTCGGAAGAAAGTTCATCTTTCAACACTCATATCTCAAAGACCGTAATACCTACAAGATTTCGTCCCATTTAAAGGTTGCTAAGGATTAAATCCTCTACAACATATCAAAAAATGGGCAAAATCCATAGAGCCCGAAAATCCCATATTAGCTTTTATGATGAGGTGGTTGATTTATTGCAGCAGGTGTCTACGATTTAACTTGAACATTACCACAGCATATACTATAACAATCAGCAGGCTAACTCTCACGCGCATCTTTTCTGCGCACGCCGCCATTAGGGAACACCATCCTGCCATTGAACGGCGGGGACGCCGAAATTTTATTTTACTTGTTTATTTCTGGTGGAGGGTGGAGGTCATAGACGTGCAATGTAGAGCGGAATTTAAGCTGTAATTGTAGCACAGCATACAATTTTAGATGCTGTGATTTTAGGGTATTCTTAGCGTTGTCATTGATGCTGTTATCATTCTTGTCAATTTAATAATAATAATAATAATAAATTGGTGGACTTTCATTGGTTGAAATTAGTTTTCTGACTGTTTTCAACCAATGATATTAGGTCTGACTGTTTTGTGATTTCTGCAGAAACTGAGGCAGAAACAGACCTATTAAATTATTTTATCAGTTGATTCAATACTAAAAATTCTCAAGCCATAGCCAATGTTTGATAAAATTCCATTGTCTTCCTTCTAAATCAATAACTTTATTTAGAGCCAATACGACTCTGTAGTCTGTGACACGAAAGAAAAAAACCTAAATTATTGTTAATCAGGCCCTGTTTCATATCCCAAAATGGCCGCTAGTGAGGTCCCGACCATGAATTCCTTTATTACATGGGCTGTCACTCGCGCTAGCCTGCTGATTGCAGCCCCACTTAGAGTATGCCGAGGAGTATGCAACAGTAAAAGTTTCTTAGATTCATGGATCCTTAGCTTTTTGGTAATTATTGGTATTCTTTTGGTAATTATTGGTATTGTTTTGGTAATTATTGGTATTTCTTTGGTAATTATTGGTATTTTTTGGTATTATTTGGCAACTACTGGTATTTTTCTGGTAATTATTGGACTTTTTTTGGTATTTATTAGTATTTTTGGTAATGTTTTTTGGTAATTATTGGTATTTTTTGAAGAAAGTGGTAATTTGTACACAATTTTGAGGGTGACTTACCCCTCGGGTGATTTACTGTGATGTGGAGTAAGTTTGCTACATTATATCATTGAATGGGTTTTTATGTTTTTTTAAAAGATTGTATGTTTGTCTTTCAATGCGTTCTGTTGGGTCTTTGTTTAATTTTGTATAGACGTTTTGACTAATTAGTGATGATATTTTTTGTTCGTATGTGTATGAATCTAATATAACAGTTGCGTTACCTTTGTCTGCTGACACGACATTAGTCAAATTTGTAATTTTTGCTTGATAACTCAAATTCGAGTATTCAAACAAATTTACGAAAAAACCGAACAATTTTCTGCCTTTTTTATTTTTTAGGTGTTCCATCCCCCAAGCTTCGACAACGGTAGCAGATTTGGTACCGAAACGTCAGCAAAAAATCCAGAACTCATACCACAAATAATCTGATAGGTAAAGTTGCTCTAATCAGAGAGCTTGTAGTAATTCGTATCAAAATCAAGAAACTTCTGGTATTAATTTCAATTGAGGTGTAAGTCCCAAAAAATGCAAGGTAATATTATAAATCCACCTCAAACATACAGACATTTGGTATAAACTAGCTTCGAAAGACAAAAGCCTAGTACTCATGACTGCGGAATTCGCATTTTTTTGACATTGCTTCGACAATTTGACGTTTTATGCGTGAATCAAATGTCAAATTGTCGAAGCAATGTCAAAAAAATGTGAAATTCGCGGTTATGAGTACTAGGCTTTATTTGGTATATTTGACGCAGCAAGGAGAGGAAATTTGAACCTTTTATACTCCCTTGCTCTCTCTATTAAAAATTTGTGCCATTCCATTTGCTTTTACCTAGTACACATTTCACTGATTAGCCTATCTAAACCAATATGGCCGTTCCAGGGTAAACAATTGTGACAGGTCAGGTAGAATTTTATTTTTAATTGGTGCTTTGCAGTGCAGTGTTTAGATTGTTCTGTGTTTTGTATGATAATTTAAATACAAGCGAATGGCAGGCACTGCAAAAAAGTTCATCGCGGTTTGAACGGCTTCCACAGTCAACCACAATACACGTTGTATGGATTTTT